CACACCCCCAGCCACCGAGAGTCGCGTCGCCGTGGGCAAGGACGGGAGCAGGCTGTAGAAAAACTCCCACGGCGAGGTCGGTGTCAAAGGAGGAGGAGGGAGGATCCTCCCCTCCCTTGCGGGCCACCGTTTGTCGAAGATGGTCATCCGATTGCTCTGGCCGCTTGATCTTAGTGGTGAGGGGGGTGGTTGGAGGTTCTGTTTTTCTGCTCCTTGTCGTTGGGAAGGTGGTGGTGGTGGTGGTGGTTGCGGGGCTGGGGGGGTGACGTATCGCGGGTGGTGGAGGGGGGTGGTGGGGAGGAAGGTGCTGTTAGTGTTGCTGCCGCGGCCCTGGCGGGTGACGAAGGTTGTGGGGATGGAGAGGATGGAGGAGGAGTCATCGGTGTCGGAGGGGGTGCTGCTGGTGGCGCCGATGGTGATGTGTGGGAGGCTTTTTCTGCTGGTTCCGGTTCCCGTTCCCGTTCCGGGGATGTGGGAGTGTCGGAGCTGGTTGAGCCATTGGGAGAGTCGGGTTGTGGGTGGGATGACTTTTTCGGTGGTGCTGTTTGCGGTGGTGTTAAATAGCTGGGGATCTTCCACTGTGGGCGGCTCTGCTGTCTCGTGTTTGGTGTAAGGTGTTGGTTGGGGTGTTGCTGGCGTGGAATCGAGCAAGCCCTTCTGACCCGAGTACTTCTTGGCTCTTCTTCTTCGGCTACGAAGCACAAATAACACCGAGACGATGGTGAGAAGAACAAAAGCTGTCACATTACAAAGATCAGCTCTGCTGCCAAGTCCGTGGCACGGATGCCTGGCTAAACGCACCTAGGAGGCCAACGACTATCCCCGCTATTTGCCCAGGACGTAGACTGTGCTCGTTGTTCAAGGCTTGGATTGGTGGGATACTTGATGTGGTGGAATACGCAGCTGTGTTGCAAAGTCAGCTAAACACGTAGTTCAAGGACTAAAGGGGTTTGTACCTGTGTTTGTCGATGACTGCGAACTGCTTTCGATGCGTATCGTAGAAGATCCTGTAGAAATACTTGGAATTGTGATACTGCTGGCAGGTGTGCTGGTGCCGATGGTTGGGATTATGCTGGTGGTCGGGCTTGTGCTGGTGGTTGGGGTTATGCTTGTGGTGGTCTGTATGCTCGTGGTGGTTTCAGCACTGATGGTGCTTTCGCTTGTCGTGATGCTAGTTTCCAAGGTAGATGGAGCTGGGGTCTGAGTATCACGTTGAGTTTCGATATGGGATGAAGTCTGTGGCGCCGGCGCTGATATTGAAGAAGGCGACGTCGACTCAGGAATCTCTAAGGAGGTGCTACTAGTGGGGAGATCCGACGTCGTGGGTGGCGGTTGAATTAGAGATGAACTTGGGGGGATAGCCTCAGAAGTCGATATTGGTTCGGGAGGGAATTTGTCTGGGTCTCCTTTCCCCTTGCCCCTTCCTTTGCCCAGTCCCGGGCGATCATCACCCTCATCATCATCTTCTGAAAGCGACTGGACACCGCCGTTCCCGTTGTTGGCAGGAACTGGCGGTGAAATAAACCCTGATCTTCTACGCCGTGAACGGCGCCTTATGGTGGTGGATTGCATATTTGGGAGTTACTGACACGTCCGTCTGGGGGTAGTGCCAGTGTTGGTAAGATATCTGGTCACCTGGTGGGCAACACCTTGCCTTTGAACACCGACGGCCAACGACGAGAAGTGGACTTGAAGCGGGAAACTTCACGGGAGTGGCCCACAGGACTCGTCAGTGAGGTGGTTTTTTCTCCACATCATGAAATCAAGACTTCCCAGTAAAAAACCCAGTGAGCTAGCTGTATCAGACTGAGCAGGGGAGGTGAGGGGCCCCAGGGGTTTCAACTTGGCGGAGCTAAGAACTACAAGACATGCATGAAACCCCAAACGAAACGGAACTCGAAAACGAACTTTACTAGTTTCCCCGGTACACCGCCCCAAAGTCGTAACCCTTTCGATTAATTGGTGCGCGAGTGGTATGTTTGAAAAAGTTGTGGAATTCAAAGTCGGCCCCCCACGGTTAAAAACGTCCGAGGTGGTGATGGTGTTGCACTACGCTATGACATTTGTGAGTAACTTCAGATGGTTTTTCCTCTGGCTCGGTAAATCAATGAAAGCGGACTCAATACTGTTGAATAGCGAGGCGGTGACGGCGCCTAGCCCCAACTCATCGCGTGGGCTTTTCGTGCTTAGTACCATCAACCTCGTCAACATCCGTGAACGTCGCCAAGCAGAGAGCTATTAGTGCAAATGGATCGACGTAGTCGGCGGTTTGCGAAAACTAAGGTATAGGGTCAAAGCCGAGATTATTAGAACAGTAGACAAGGTTTGTAAGAAACCGTTTAAAGAGGTGTGGTGGCTTGGGGTACCTATGTAAACAACGGTGATGGCTAACATGAAACATCGTAAAACGCCGTTTTGGAGCTGTTCTCTCTAATGGATACATGGGGTTGGCTTTTCGCTATTGGCGCAAACTGCGTGCGTTCTAATATTTTACCAAGTGCCTACTTGTCCTTGTGACCATGCCCTTCACCACACCCTTCTACTACCACCACTGACCCAACTGAGGTCTCGGGATCAGATTCCCCGGCCTCAGCTGGTCGATCATCCCGACGTATTGCCCATCCTCCCGACCATCCGACCCATCCGGTCTCTCTTGGACCTCGAGCGAGACACACAATGAAGGCAAGGAATATGAATCCGACTGTAACAATAACGTTAGCTAGTGCGTTTTCCAACAGGGAAGGTAGTGAACCAAGAATTACGGCTGCAACAACCACTATACACCCACCCCCCCAGAGCGTACAGTCTGTTCCCAACCGCCGTGCCCGTCAACTGCCCCGAGAAGGCGGCTATCATGTAAGCCGTATTGACTCTGTTTCTGGCCAGGGGCTGGATGTCATAGACAGCCGCGCGGTTCCTAATCTGCGTGAACTGCCCACCAAGGTCGATAGCAACCGCTTGTATCACCGCCCCGGCAACGTGAAACGTCCCCGTGAACGTCCCGACCACCACACCGACCAGCTCAACCGACAAGCCCAGGATCGCCGAGGCCAGCGGCACAACCTTGTCAATGACCAACCGGCTATACACAGGCGCCGCCAATATCACCACAATCCCAATCAACCCAAACAGCCCAATCACCATACTCCCATACTCAAACGGCGGACTCGCCAACAAAAAGCTCAGCGTCGTCCAAAACGACGTAAACACGGCACTCAACAGAAACGCCACCACCGCCACCTGAAACAACAACGGCTCGGTAACCAACAACCGCCCAATCCCCAGCAACATGCCCGGATACCCGCGCAACAACCACCACCACCACGCCCACCCCCCTTGCGTCCCTTGCGTCCCTTGCGTCCCCGGGGGGTTCTTACTCGGATAATCCGGCAACCACCACCACAGCCCGCCCCACACCAACCACTGCACGCCCAGCCCAAACCAATACACACCTCTCCACCCCCCCGTATACGCCGCCAGCACGCCCGACAGCAGGCGCGCGACCAGCACGCCCAGCGACAGGCCCGACACGACTAGGGCCAGGCAGCTGGCGCGGCGGTGGGGCGGGGCCAGGTCGCCGATGAGGGGGAGGATCAGCTGCGGGGTGACGGTCGTGAGGCCGGTGAGGAAGGAGAGGGTTTGGAAGAGGGGGAGGGGGGGGTTCAGGCAGAGGAGGAGCCACTGGTTGGTATGGTAAGTACCTAGGTGAGTGGGTTGTTGGGTTGGGTGGGGGACGGAGGCAGGGGGGGTTGCTTGCTTACGAGGGTTGCGGTGATGGGCTACGAGGGTGAGGATGAAGGGTCGGCGGGGGAAGATGTCGCCGAGTGGGCAGATGAGGATCAGGCCGCTGGCGTAACCGGCTTGCATGAGGTGGCGACGGAGGAGGCTTTTTCGAAGGTTACGTGGAAGGTTTCGGCGATGCGGTTGAGGATGGCTTGGTTGTAGTAGAGGTTGGCGACGGTGAAGCAGGCTGCCTAGATAGGTTGAATGTGAATAGTTGTCCACCTTACTTAAGGAGGGGGGTCACTCACAAACGCAAATAGTAGGTTCAGCCATATGGTAAACTTGGGAGGGTTCTCGGGGTCATAGCGAGCTGGTTTGGGCTTCCACTCCCACGCTCGTCGAAGAGCACTCCGTTTGGTTGGCTCTTGGATATCCGGGGCTGCAGTGTCTTCAATGGCGCTTGCAGTCGGTGGGATATCACCGCCAGGCGTCTCATCTGTTTTGTTTCTAGGTTGCGGAGTCTCTTGCTCATGCTGTCCATCGTCGGGTCCGGGATTTGACCCCAACCCCTGATCAGGTCCGGGGATCTGATGTGTCTTTTCATTCGCCATATTTATACTTCAAACAACCCCGTCATTGAGTGTTTGTGTATTGAAAGCCGTAGAAGATGGTAATTAGAAGTAGTTAGGACTGCGTAATTCTTACTGCCCCTGTTGGCTGTCTGGTTGACCCTGCTTGACATCGCTCGGCCGACCCTGCCTCGAGCCTGCCTACCTAGATATCTGACCATGCTTGAGTCCCTGACCCTACTCGACCACATGGTCGCCCCTGGCCGCCGTGCTCATACGCAATGCATTTTCAGAACTGACTGCCTTCAATCAAGCCAGAAATGACCGAAAGTCTTCTGGCAAAGCTGGGATCAGCCACAAGGACACCCACCAACCGAGCCACAATTGGAGGTCATGTCGGCAATCTCAATTGTCCGAGCCCCGACTGACTTCATGTTCTTACCCTGGGAATTATTTCTTTCTGTACGGAGTCCTCTTTTGTTTTCCACAACACCAAACGGGCCACGGCCGGCCGGCTATTGTCACTTTACTAATACCATTATGGACTCTCCCATCGCTGTGATCGGGTTCGTCCTCAGCAAGATCCCCGTTCTCTTCAAAACTGTCCTATTCCATGCGTTGTCTCTCAGCCCAACGTGCCATAAATGGACCCTCCGCACTGAACTCACCGTCACAATGCCCCGCGAATTCATCACCAACACCCCGCCCAGGTCGATAACCAAGCAGCAGGCCATGTTCCTCACTGACCACGGTGTAAAGGGTGCTTTGTGGGTTAGCAAAGCTGCTTTCCCCGCGCCACCGGACGCCGCCCTCCAGAATGGTGTATCCAGGGCTATTAGGGATCTGGGGGAAGGCGGCGAAGAATATACGATGCCGGCTCTGCAAGCTGTGGAGGGTGAGTGGGTCGGTTATCGAGCTAGCGTCAAGGCAAACACCCCCGAGCCGGCGGGACTGTCGGAGAGGGAGAAGTACGAGCACCTGGTGAGAGACAGGAAGACGGACATGACACTGCTCTACTTCCACGGCGGATCGTATTATCTCATGGACCCAGTCTCGACGCGGCCTCTGATGCAAAAGTACGCAACTCTCTCAGGGGGAACTGTCTTTTCGGCGCGCTACCGCTTAGCCCCTCAAGGCCCATTCCCGGCTGCACTGCTGGATGCCCTGGTCGCGTACCTATCACTGCTCTACCCGCCCCCAGGATCCTTTCACGAACCCATTCCAGCATCGCGCATTATCCTGGGTGGCGACTCTGCCGGCGGAAACCTGGCTTCCGTCCTCCTACAGACGCTCCTCCAACTCCACCGGGCTGCGCCCGCCGGAGGAACGCCTACCGTCACATTCCACGGCGCCACGGTACCGCTGCCACTACCAGCCGGAACCACGCTGAGCTCACCATCCATGGACCTTACACGCTGCATGCAGGGCGGCTCCGAGTTACAGGCCCTGTGGGACTACCTCCCCCACCGTCCTTCTCGCCTGCGCAATCATCCCCTCCCTGCACCATCTGGCCGTCCGACCCCCCGCGCGCCGACCTCCTTTGCGAAGGCAGCGCCCTCTGCCACCCCCTTGTGTCCCCCCTCGCGGCCCCTTCGTGGGCGGGCTCGCCGCCCCTCTTTATCGTTTGCGGCGAGGAGAGGCTCGCGGACGAGTGCAAGGCGTTTGCGCAAAAGGCCGCCAGGGACGGCGTGCGCGTAGTCTGGGAGCAGTACGAGGCGATGCCGCATTGCTTTTCTCAGGTACTTGAGGGGAGTGTGGAGAGCGAGGCGTGTTTTGCTAGTTGGGCGGGATTCGTGCGCATGGTTACCGAGAAGCCAGGTGAGGTGGTAACAGGAGGGGAGTTCATCACCGTGAGGACCCTGGAGAGGACACCAGTTGACGTGTACAATCTCTTGGATATGAGCCAGGAGGATATCCTAGACTGCATGCAGCGTGAACGCCAGGCCATTGTGGAGAGGTTCACTCAGTCCATGGCTTAAGGCGGTTCTAGTCACCATTCTGCACCTTAGATCAAGGATCAAGGTACCTAGACGGGGTAGGATGGTAGTAATGAGGCACCACATAACAGACGAAACCGTGACGACAACTCTGGAGCTAGCTGAGCGCGAGCCGTTTCTCCAAGGGCCATCATACGGCCTTTTCTGTCAAGGTACAGCCAAAAGATGCATAATGATTTTGATTATATCGTGCCAGGAGCCAGCCCAGATAGGTATCCTAAATTCAAATCAACCCAGCGCCTAATTATAGTCAACCATGCCACACATGGCCTACTAATTGAAGCCATGGTGATCATAAATCGTGGGCATCTCCAGCCCCTCCTCCTTTTCCTTTCTCTTCTTCTGGATCCTCCACAGACAGAAATAGATGGGCACCAGGACGATGATGACACCCACTGCCAGCGCCACGTAAGCCAAGATCAACACCATCCTCTGCTCGGACAGTTTCAAGCCCCTATTCCACGTTAGTCCAACTCACATCCGCCACCCACGAAGGCGTTAAGACTTACACCCCAACATTGACCAGCAAGAGCACCCATATAACCCTGCACACCCACCTATGGATGTCACCCAACATACGCGTGCTCTCGGGAGGCTCCTGACCACGCTTCTTAGCAGAGCGCTTGATCCAGGACAGCGCAATACCCCAGAAGAACATGAGCGTCAGCGCAACAACAGTGAGCAAGCCCAGGATCTGGTGGCCGGTGCGGAACTGCTGGGTCTGCAACACAAGTCAGCCATCGTCAACCCCTACCACCACCACCCCCACCCAACCCCAAACAAAGTAAGAAGAAAACCAGCAATACAACTCACCGCAACATGCTCCCTCCCCACAATCACCCCAGGCACCATCGCCCCCACCACAAACGCGACATACACCGTCGCCGTGACCCCATGCACCCACGCCCAGCGGCTTCCCAACGCCCCGGCAACCAACGAGTCAAAGGGCGCGACGGCCAGGGCCACGATGGCGTACAGGATGCCGTGGGCGGTGGCGGCCTTGGCGTCGCCGCTTTGGTGGAGGCGGAAGGTCGCTGTGGGGTTGGTGGTGGTGGTGGTGTCGTCGTTGTTGGTGAAGGAGAGGATGACGTCGGGGGTGGTGGTGTTGGGGTTGGGGGTGGAGGCGGAGGGCGGGATGCCGCCGGGGAGGGTGGCGCGGAGGAGGTTGATTGTGAAGCGGCCTGTGGGGGGGGGGAGAGGGGTTAGGTGGGTTGGTTGGTGGGGAGGTAGAGAAGGGAGGGGAGGGGGCGTACCGTAGGCGGAATGTCGTCGTATCCGCGCGTCTAGGTCATCGGAGCTGAGGTCCAGGCCTGGGCCGACGGCGAACATCATGGGCGCGGCCGAGTCGGTTTTGGTGAAGGACTGGCAGCCGTGGCAGGTGGCGTTGACGATCATGTCGAAGTTGTCGTTGATGGTGGTTTCGTGGATGGTGAGTTTGGTGTCGGGTGAGTGGACCGGCTCCGTGTTGCCCCTAGCAATGATGTGAGATGAGTGGAAGTTGATGAAGAAGGGGTGTACTTACGTTGTTCTGCGCGGACTGACTGTCACGCCTGCGATAATCCGGCGTTAGGCCCATAAGCTGTGAAGGAGACTGGATCCCGGTGGGCTTACCCTTGTGGTCTGCGGACGGGTACATGATCAACATCAACCCATCTGCCATGGACGTCCCGAACCCGATGGCCGTGTACTGATACCAGTCCGGCGTGATAACATGAAAATTGATATCATCGGAGTCAGGGGGTAGGTTAAAGGACACGATGGTGTCTGTGTCAGGGACGAAGAGCGTCGCGACACCTTTCTGTGCCCCCACGAGTTGAAGTTGGAGAGTTATGCCTTCTTAGTGTAAGCGATGAGGTTTCAGTAGGACTCAAGGCGCCACTTACATAGGACCAGCCATTGTAACCTCCATCGAGGGTTCGAATTTCGCCCGTTTAACAACATGTTGAATAAATGAGGCTGCTTGAAGTCCGCCAACGGGCTGAATTTGACAAACTGTCTCGTCACTTGTGAAGATATCAAAAATGAAACTGTTAGCCAGTGTTTGCGAGGGTGGTATATGCCCGATTTTCAACAACACCCACCAACACAACAAGTGTATTTAGTAATGAATGGCTTTCGAGGGAGCAAGATAAAAGATTATCAATTTAGGACGAAGTCCATATCTTTGGGGAGAACGGAGAAGGCATCCCGGCATGATTTACCACCGCCACGGGTCACACGGCACACCGGTAGCACGGCACTAAATACGGACGCTGGGCATGCCGGTGATGGTCTGGGCCGGGCGCGTAGAGATGGGGTCCGGCGGCAATTGGTCCTGGAAGCGCCCAAGCACATGGATCTGGCCAATCACCTTTCCCACAAGTTAAAAATACACAGCTTTTCTTCTTCTTGCCATTTAATCGGGTGTTGGTAGGTTTGAGGAGAGTCGCATTGAACCTACTTTGTATACATCGCCCGTGTAAAATAAATATGGGCAGATGTTCAATGCAAATGTACGAGTTGCCGAGCCTTGGGCTGCCCAGGGCTGTTGGTGATGGCGTGGTTGGTGTTGGAAGTGCCCGGGTTAGGGTTGTTACCGTGCATTTGGTTGCCTGCAGATTGGGTTGGCACCTGTTGTCATTGTCAATTCACGCAACAGCCTCTCTGTTTTCATGACCAACCCATGGCTGCCGCCGTCACCGAAGAACCCCCGAAATTCTGGGAATCCCCTCATCTTCCATCTCAAAATGGCGCTGAATTGCATGCTTCTATCGTTCTTAATTCCAAATGTCCACAGCTCGGCACGTGACGTTCTTCCGCCCGAATGCCCTCACAAGTGGTACATACAAGCTGTACTCGGTATGATGACGAACACGATCAAGTGAATGCGGTTTGGTGTTGTGGTTCCCTCTCGCCTCGGCCGACCGTGTTTCTCTTTGTCCGGCACAAGCTTGCTCGGAGCCGCTTGTCGCAAATGCCATTGTCGCTGACTTGACTGGACCGACCATCCATCCATTTCGCCCTCGGCATCCAGAAATTCGGGCCCTGCGAAATTACTTGCTGCCAATTGCTCACCCTAGGCTGCGCCGCCACGACCCGCCAATCGCGCCATATCTCGGCCGACTCTATCTCGAACTGCCGGAAATGCCCGGCAAGAATAGGACCGAGCTCGTTGAAGATGATGAGCATCATAAAGACCCCTTGTCCTCTCCAGCGCTACCATCATTGTCGCCGTTGCCGTCGCCATCGCAGTCACTGGCCGCCACCAAGCAGCTTTCGAAGCCCAAGGTTGGCCCCCCACCACAGCTGCCGCAGGTGCTTGTAATCTGTAGGAATAAGTGCGCTCCCTTCCTGCCTACCCCGTTGCTTCACTACCCCTGCCATTGGTCGTGTATCCCACTTCCTCCTGCATCGGTGCCGCTTCTTGCTCACGCTGGATTTGCTGTTCTTGCCCCCTTTCAGTGCTGGCAACAGATTACTAACCTGGATGCCGCAGACATTGGCGATACATATCGTCCTTCCACGGACCATGGCTCCAGCTACCCCCCGAGGTTCTCGAGACCATCGCGAATGTAAACTACAATGCCCCAAGACCGCGGCCCATCGACCCGTCCGTCTTCTTCGATCTCGTCAAGATCAGGCGGCTGGTTGACGAGGCCACCGATCTCGCCGTGCGTGCTGCCAGCGGCGTGGCCACCATCGGGCAGCGGGGCCTTAACAGCGCTTCTCATCCCGCATCCATGCTAGGTTTCGGCTTTGGCCACCGTCCGCCACCACAAACGAAGCTCAGTCCCGAGAGGAAACACAGGATGAGGGAGCAGGCGACTCAGAAGCTGATGGAAGCATACTGCCTGGATGAGATCGCTAGTAGCGTTGCCACAATGCAGGGCGCTTCCACTCTTGAGGAGGTGGCATGCCTGGTGCTCCAGCGCAACCCCCAGGACCCGGCCGCCAAATATGTCCACTTCTTTCACGAGAAGATACCAAGCCGCCAGCTGGTCGAGTGCACCAGCATGACGCCGCTCAACGAGGTTGCTGCCGTGAAGCCGTCCGACCCAGCGCCACTGAGGACTCGAGCCATGGTGCGCGTTCTCAAGGGGGATGATCAGGGCGCAGCCGACGACTTGACCGAAGCCCTCAAACTCCATCGATTGTACGGGCCTTCGCATGCGTCGCGGAAATCGGCTCAACTACCGGAAAACCAGTCGTATGGGGCCAATCGAAGGCAGGAGGATGCCATTTTGAAGGGGCAAGACCAGCCAAGCAGTCTCGAGATGCAGTTAATTTTTCAGAGGGCCGGCATTTACTTGGTCATTGCCTGTCGCTACATTCCCGCCGCTCTCGGTGAGGACTTGGCAACAGCCGAAAGCCATTCTCTAGGCGGTGCCCAGGCCGAGGGTACTGGGGGAAAGCCCCAACCCATGCCAGCGGGAGAAGAAACACAGAGGAGAATGGAGGAAGCTAGGAAGCTGGTGAGGCAAAACGCAAAGCGGGCATTGCGCGACTACACGGCCTATCTTTCTCACTTCGACTATTCGCCAGACCTGCCTATCGAGCACGCCGAGGATTTCACTCGGAGGGTTAACTCTGCCGTCAATGGCACCAAGGCACCACGGTCCCACAGCCATCCATCTGGGCCACGCTTGCCTCAGGCTAGAGAAGGTGAAGCCGTGGCCATGCCTCACCGTGTCTATGCGTTATCGGACCTCTTCACATCCTCGCAACCCGCTGGCCTCCCTCCTTATCCTAGCACGCAGATGGTCACAGCGGCCCGTGGGCCACCACCCGCTGGCCCGGTACAAACCACGACGGAGACGCTGACGTGCCACCCTCTTCTCGCCGACGCCCTTCACGCTCTTCTGCTGTGCCACTGTCTGCTCCAGACATCAGCCAAAGAGCTACTTCGCCACGCCAACATGGTAGCCCGCCTTGCCCGCCTCGCCGACGGCTACCCCGTGTTCCAATCCAGCCGGTGCCCCACCCGAGCCGACTGGATCGAAGTATTACGAGCAGGCAACAACTGGATCAACCTGGCCGGATCATGGGAGGACCTCTGCGCACCAGCGCCCCTCCCACTCTTCCAATCCACCGGAAACGGCTCCACCCCCGTCCCCATATCCCCGTCGCCGCTTCAATCACCCCTCCCAACTGCAAGAAACGACACCCTAGACATCACTTCTGACCCCTCAACAACGCTCGCCACCACCGGTGAGCAAGCCCAAGGCTTTCCACCAAACCCCATCGACGACGACCGCCGATCAGACGACGCCGCTCTCCGTCTCGCCATCCGCGCCCGCCAAATGCGCGCCGAGCGCGACTACCGCGTCCACAACGCCGCCCTCGCTCTCGACGCCCAGTGGTTGAAAGGCCATCTAGAGAGCCCGCTTACCAACCCTACAGCCGCCATTGACGCCGCAACCTCCACCGGACCACCACCACCAGCGCCGGGGTCGGGGGCGATGTCAGCCACCAGCCGCCGCGGTGCAATGCCGCCGCCCGTTGCCGACGACAAGGACTTTCACCCGCTCTCTAGCCAGCGCGCCGGCGCTATCGCCCGCTGGGTGACCCATGCACCGCCGCCTAACACGACGCCTGGCGGGGGCGACGGGACTAGAAAGCGGAGGAAGAAGCCTGTTAAAAAGACGACAGTCGTGGATAGCGGCGGTGGTGGTGGTGTGGTGATGGCTACCTAGTGCATGTATGTCTTAAGATGTGTCATATATATTGCGGTATATGTTTGTCTGTATTTGCGAGATCGTTTGTGGTAGCGTTGTATATAGTTTGCCTATCATCATCATGAGAGCACGGCGAGCGAATATCACTGACACTATATTTTTGGCCATGAGTCCGTTGGCGCGCACACGTCCATTCCTGCGGCAAACCTTTCATGACGTCTGTGTAATATCCCGCCGCAGTTGATGTCACTCGTGGATAATATTTGGTGAATCGTTTGTACCCGCTACCTAGGCAATAGCTGAAGAACGAGGCACGGGTCTTGACCCCACACGCAGGGATCTGGAAGCTCAACAATGGAATCATCCGATCTGATCACCTAGTTGCATAGCTATATGGCTAAAACATGGCTTCGAAGAGGCGGGGGGAATCATCTGGAACAGACAAGCGACAACAATAAAAAAAGAAGAAAGTACCAACTCAAGTCGTCCTCAACCCTGAAGCATCTATACCAATCCAAGTCCTTTCCAAAACGGCCCTCTTCCAGATTCAGAACCGAAGAAGAAGGAGTGTTATATAGGTAGTTCCCTTCCTTCCCTACCAATCCAACCCAACTCAACCCCAATGCACCCCACCCTGGCCCCCCATTCCCAAGTTCAAGAAACTGTCAATATCACTCATCCCCTCCGTCTCCAACACATCCATCAGCTCCAACTGCTGCTCATGACTCAGGCTCCCATGGCGACCATTCATAAACGAGTCGTAATACTCGTCCGCCATGCCAGCGCCGTGACTACTAGGCCCGGGCCCTGGGGCGAGACCCGGTCCGGGAGCAAACATGCTGCCGCCTCCGTCCTGCTGCGGTCCGGCTCCGAAACCGCCCATGTTCCAGTTTGTCGTGTGTTGCAAGCTGTCGTTGTTGGGCACCCCGTGGCGCGGACCCCCGTAGGGCACTTCCATCACGTTCGGTCCGAAATTGCTCGTGAACGGATTGGCGGTGCCGTTCCACAGGGAGGGGTTCCCGCCCGTGCCGCTCGCAAACATGTGGGGTGGGATGAACTGGGGGAGAGGGTTGTACCAGTCTGCCGGTGCGTGGGACGGTGGCGGCCGTTGTTGAGGTTGCTGATGATGTTGTTGAGGTTGTTGTTGTTGTGGAAGGTGTTGTGGTTGTGACGGTGGAGTGACGAACGGGGGTGGCGGCCGGCGTGGGCCGGCATTTGCAGACATGAGCGGGTGTGGTCGTTGTTGTTGGTGTTGTTGATGTCCTTGTGGTTGGTGCTGCTGGAACTGGCCTGGATGGAACAATTCCACAGACTCCTGTTTCACGTGGATTATTGGTGCCGGGGGATGGTGAGGCATCGGAACTGGAGTGGTGGTATGAAGAGTTGGCGTCTGCATGGGGGTTGTTTCTCTTGCCAACCTCGGGGAGGGATGTATGCCTGGTTGGGCAGACGTGGGGGGCAGGGACTCGGGGGGTGAAGGTAGCGAGGTAATCGAGGGCGTGCTAACGGATGGCACAGGCTCTGGCTTGGGTATTGCTAAAAGCGGCGGTGGCGTGGTTCCCATGCGGCTAGGCGCAGAAGCTTCGTTTGAATCGGGCGCGAGGTTCGATAACCTGCGACCGTTCGAGTCCGTTGATGGGCTCATGAAAATCGAATTGGAACGGAAGCTGGGCTGGTTGGGTTGGTGCTGGAAGGGAGATGACTTGCTCTCAAAACCATATTGCGTACCCAGCGGGTTATTGGCGGCATCGAACACGTATCCGAACGGGGATGAGGTGTTGAAGAGCGATGTGGCTGATTGCGGTTGTGTTTGGCGAGTCGGGGTGTCCCTGGAGGTATCCGACTCGGGAGACTTAGGACCGGCCATAGAGACTGGCGTTCCGAGCTGACTGCCCGGCGGTGGCGAAGGGGTCTCTTCACCTACGTCGTAGCTTTGGAGGCAAGCATCGGCGATCACAGTGTATAGCTGGACTGCGGACGAAGACCCGGGCCATCGGTCAGAGAAGATTTTGATTGCCTCCAAAGCGGTCGCCGCAAGGTCCTGGACATCCTCCCGGCTGTGCTGTTCGCGTACATCGAGGTATGAGATGGACCAAAGAAGCGCATTCAATGAGGCGTAGACGGTCAGCAAAGACTCCCAAGAGATATCTACTGTGCCTTCTTCGATTTGGCAATATGTCAACTTGATGATGGAGCGTGCACCCTCAAAACATCTCGCGGCTGCGTTGGCGCTCGGCTTAGGCACTTGTGGAGAAGGCCGGTAGAGAGATATGATCATGCTGTGATAGCATCCATCAAGCCTGTCATCAAACGTCAGCTGAAGGCTCGAAGCATAGGGGGTTAGATGGGCTTACCAAGGCTTACACCAAGCCGGATTCGCGGGGCAGGCATCGAGCCACTCTTTGAGCCGTTGCTCGATTTGCACGAACCAAGGTTGGACCTCCTGAGAAGGTTGGGGACGTTTCTTCTCGTAAAGCACACGGCGAATCTCCGCCTGGAGAAGCCTCATTTTGTAAAAGTGGATGGCTATCACCTTCCTTTCGCAAGGTCTGCCGGAGCGGATTCCTTCTGGGGTGATGTCCTCGTCCACAATCGGCTCGAAGAACTTGACGTTCATAAAATCATCAGCCTTGGCGAAGCCGTTAGGCCTACCCATAACGTTGGCCAACCCCAACTCTTGTGCGGTGACGGTCCAGCTCACTCTCCGTCTCATGTCTAGGGTTCGTTGATCTGACACGCCCACGCCAATGGTGCCCTCGTCACCGAGACCAATCTGTTGGCATATTCTGGTTGCGAGCCCAGTCACATAATATGTGGCGGTCCTAGTTGGCGTCATGAGAGAATATTGCCCGATGAGAACCAGACACTGGAGCGTCTTCAAATCCTGGGGACGGACGACGTCCTCAAAGCGGCGCATTGCGTTGAGATAGTAGCTATCAGGAAGGCCGGCGTACTTGCCCACTTTTTGCAAACTGATAGCTACCACCATGTTCACGACAAAGTGCTTGTACGGGTCTGCATCGCCGGCAAACACAGCATTCACGTCTTCCTCAAACACCTTCTCGTGAAGAATAGGCGTGAATACTTGGACTAATGTCCTCTGGTTAGCACCTAGAATATCGCCGCACGTTCGCAAAGGGTGCTGTGGAAAGCCTACTTCTGTCATTGAAAGCCCGAACTAGGCCCTCGACGATCTCTCTGCTTGGCAAGCCGGAGGCGGGGATGATGCTATGAGCAGGATAGCTCTTCGTTCTGTCAGAAGGACCGCTGATGCTGGTCCCCATGACGACGCTCTGCATGCGGTCTCTTTGTTCGGCCCGTCTCGCAAGCACCGCGGGAATCAGGTTGGCTATCCTTCGCGACTCGGCATATCTCTTTGCCTCCTCCATCAACAGGCGGGTCATGGCTGTGCCGCTGCTCGGCCCGAGATAGCGCGGGGTTTCGTCCGTCTCATTAAGGCGGACAATACCACCTGGGAAGACCATGTCGTCATAGTTGTGTGATTCATCGTTCTCCTGATCCGTGTATTGGGCAAGCTCGGCCTCGAGTTGGCGCACTCGCTTTTGGAGGTTGACGACATGGGAGCGGTTGATTTTAATGCCCTTGGTGATGTCGTAGTACTCGCACGTCGACCCTGCCCGTTCGCAGGGGAGGCATCGTGGCAGGGCGGGGTCGCATCTCGTCTTCCTCTGGGTAGCGAGGGTGGTCAGAAGATACAGACTAGAAGACCGATATGCAATGGAAAGGGGGTGTCGGCTTACCTTGCGGCATCTATGGCATGCTGTTAGAGTATGGGCGACGCGGTGTGGTGCGTCCTGCGTGCCCTGCTCCGGACTGTCCCACGAATACGGCGAGGGCACGGGGACTCGGCCCGGGAAGAAGTGCTGGGGCGGGAGTACTGAGCCCAGAGATTGATGGAAGACGGCAGCAGGGTCCATTGGCGCTGCCACTAATCCAGTTCTTCCCAGGGAGCCAAAGCCCCGAATCGTTGGTGGTGGCACAGGATCGGGGCAGCGGAAATTGATTAGATACGGGACCTAAGCTGTTGTTGAAGCCCAAAGAGTACGACGTCGGGGAAGTTGCGAAATAGGATATTATTGGTGGTTGCGTGTGGGCACTTGATGTCTTCTTGCCCAAATCATCTGAAAAGTTCACGGGTTCGGGTCCATGTCGTCTGATATGAGGTCGGACGAAGTCTCCATCGAAGCATTGAGGGTGGAAAGAAATGGACCCAGCAAGCAACATGTCGAAGTTAGGTGAGGGCAGTTTCACAGGGCACGGCACGCACTCGACAGCCTCGAGCGCTATCCCTGATTCGTTACCCAGCTGCCGTTCCCACAGTTGGACCCTTGCCGGCTTGGATACCTGAAGTGTCTACTGGGAGCTCAGAATGGTTCTTTTCGGGCGGAAAGTACAGGTATGGAGATAAAGTAAAAAGCAAGATGGTCGTCTATCACTTGATCCAAAAACTCTCACCGTCTTTACTAGTTGGCGATCATTATCGGAAGATCAGACATTGTTTGGATTCGAGAGACGAGGACTCGAAACCCCCAATGGATGCGGGGTTCATTGGATCACTGCGCAGTGGGGTTGATCGAGTCCCGTTTCAACCTTGCGCCTTCGAACCCCACTTCCCTCACTTGCTCACAATGGCTCTTGCCCCACTAGGTAACTCCGAACTCATCAACCAAGGGTTAATATCAGTAATAACGGTGTCATATACTCAAAAGGCTGCTTTTAAAGCTACAGTGTTGAGGTAATCTATCGAATTCCTAGAATGAACTTCACAATTCACAAACCAAGAACCTACGCTCCCACACCGATGCTCTCACCCCTCGGAGGTCACATGACGCACGGACCACCCTCTCGTCCAACCCACTTCGGTCACGGAAGGCGTTCGAGAAGCATGCCGCCTTCCGCCTATGTCCCAAGCCGATCCCAATCATCTCAAGGGCAGGAGCACAGGCAACGTGACTGATTTTCTCCTTCAAACTTTCTGCGTATGTTTTACTAAAAAAATAGATCTGTTGAGATCAGACTTCCCGAAGTCATCGACTCGCGTTCGTCCGAGTATTGTCACAGAATCCCCAGCTTGAGGCTCCACCAGTGCGGTCAGGAAATACCAAAACAAGAACAATTGTTGGCATTGCGCAACCTCGCCTACTGCAGCGCCAAATTCTGTCTATTGCGTGCCCGATTGTGTTTGAGAAAACTTCGGTCTTTTGTCAAGGGAGGAAAATTGTAGCTTCCCCTTGGTGGAGCTGCCGTCGACATGCTCCGGTCAAGCTTGGCGGACAGTCCCCTCCTCAAGGTTTCTCGGCCGGTGTCTGCATGTTCGAGATGTCAGTACAAACCTTCCAAGTGACCATCTTGCTCGGGCTAACAACTCATCCGCTTTAGGCCGTTCTGCCAAAGTCAAGGTGGGCTAAACGGGCTTGCTGACGTGGACCCCTGGCTGACCGCTCGACCAGTGCGATAACAAGCTTCCGGCGTGTACGGCGTGTGAAAAAGCTGGCCGTGAGAAGGAATGCACCGCGGCCAATGATCAGTTTGCTCGTGGAAAGGAAAGGAGGTACGTAGGGGGTGTTCCCGCGGCAAATCAATGGTGGTCCTCGCGATTAACCCGTGCCTGACTGTCTAGCTATGTCGCGGCGTTGGAGCTTAGGATAGAGAAGCTGGAGCGGAGGCTAGTTTATGCTCGCTCCATGAAAGCTTCAGTAGCATTGAATGGTCCTGATGAACCCCCCGCTGGTGACCCGAACCGGAAAGACTCCATGGCGTTCATTCGGGCCGCCATCCACAGGAAAGCCGCGCGGACCCAGGAAGATGCAGACATCAACACCCTAGTGTCAGACTTTGGCTATTTGTGAGTTTTACCTGGGGTAGATTTTGCATCAGTCAAGATTAACCAAATCTGTCCCAGAGCTGTGAATACCACCACTCGCGACTTCGAGCCGTCTGAGTCGAACATGACCTTTGCCCGCCTGGTTCTGGCAGCATCGACCAACGAGCCAGTCCCGGAACCTAAGACAACAAATTTGCCGGCGGAGCCAACTGTGCGGACTCTTGTTCAATTCTACGAGACCAGTGTCCTGCCTCTTTATCCAGCGTTCCCCGGCACTCTACTACATGCTCTCGTCAGCGACCTCTACCAGGAACACCCACGTCACATTAGGAGCTCAGAATCCTGGTTGTTCTGGATGGTCCTCGCCATTAGTTCTGCGGCGCAAAGCCGGAGCCGGCGGGACGAGCACTACCAAAACGCCGTCGAGTTCGTCGGCCGTGCGCTGCCACACGCCGATAGGGCACTACGGCCGGGGTACGGGACCCAAGTCCAATCTCTGCTGCTCCTTACGCAGTACTCGATGCTCGATCCTACTCATTTTGACAGCTGGCATCCGATCGGCTTCACCTGCCGTGCCGTGGTCGACCAAGGCTTACATCAGGATCCCCCTCACATCCAGCAAATGGGTCAAGATGCCCTAAATGAACGCCGCAGGACTTTCTACTGCACTTACGCTCTGGATAGGTTGGTAGTCGTCGTGCATGTTTGGCGGATATGTCACTAACAGCGGCGTACAGGGCAATAAGCATGGTTCACGCTCGTGCATTCTCCTTTTACGACGAGGCCGTGTGTGTGGCTCTTCCCTCGCCAATTCAGACAAGTACCACCCTCTCCGGCAGCACCACGGCCAAGCGATCCCCGGATGCCTCTATTCCGCTTTTCAGGCTACGCCAATTGCAGTCCGATTGGTATCAGACGCTTTACCAAGGCAACCCAACCGAACGCCTACCAGACATAACCTCTTTCATCTGGCAGAAGTACCGTGAGATGTGGGAATGGTCTGAGAGGCTTCCACCCGACATGCCAGCCGCCATTCGCGAGATGCTTGAATTGGAGTTGCGCTACAGCTATGTTTACTGTATCGCTTCCAGCGCCAGGGGGGCTCAAGTCTCGGCTTATGGAAGGCTCCTGATCTTTGACCACGTCATCTCGTATATTGACAGGATATATGACATCGCAAAGCTGGCGGATAATGGTGCCGTTTACACGTACCATGATGCTCTCAGGGTATTTTTCATGGGATCGCAGTTCGTCGCGGTTTTGCATGAGATTGGCGATTTGATTCTGTCGGGATCGTCCATACCCATGCCCCCGCCAGCGCCGGGGAGACAACCTCCACCACGCCCAGTGAGACTCGACAGGGGCACCGGTGATGACTTGGATCGCAGTCTGCGATGCTTGGAAAAAATAAAGCTTACCTTGGGTCTGTATGGCGAGAGGTGGGAAAGCGCCTTGTCGTGGATGGAGCAATTTGAGATGATATCAGCTGAGGTGTGGAAGAATCTCACGACGAGACGAGCAATGAGAAACGCAGCGCCGACGGGCCAGTGGCAGCCGGTGCCGGGAGCTTAGCGTGCTCGGTTCCGGCCCCGAAGGATCCTCTTCGTCTGCGCACGTGCAACAAACACCGCGACCGAAACATGAACTGGGATGAAGATTTAGGGCTGAGTGGGGATCGGGGATATGGAAGAAAAGCTGGCGCCATCTTTCGAGAGCGGCTCAGTTCCGCCATGCGATAAGTCGGGTCGGGTGGGAACGAGCATGGAACAGAAGCAACATTCCGGGCCCTAGCTCCTGTTTGCTTTTTGGCGGTGGAGATTGACAGAGAGCTTCGGAGAACTCGGGTACCAGTGAATACAACTCGCTCGATTTCCTGCTCTTTCTGGGTTTTTGTGCAATGCTTTGGAGGGTTTTTTCGACCGTTGACGACATGGAAGGAATATTTGACCCCTCGCAGACCAGGATTTTCCTGCGGTCTGCCGCCAGCGGGCGCGCGGACGCGCCGCCGATCTATCACTGACAGGCATGGGCGGTGTACGAAGCGAGCCGTATCGCCGCTTTTTCTGACCGAAATGGCTCCCCGAACTTCTGGTTTTGGTGCACGGAAGGTGGGTAGGCACCAGCACCAGACAAAGACTTGTTGAGGCGGTTGCAGCGCGTCGTTCCTTTGGTCGGAGGATATGCTCGTGGGGATAGGCGGCAGGCGATATATCGGACGCCCGGACCGTCGAATGACCAAAGCAGGATGGCAACGGATTTCGGCTTGCATGTTGAGATTTGAAGCCATGAAGGGTCCTCGGCTGTCGATGTGCGTAATTGGCTCCCATGGAAGGATTAAATGCGGAATTTGAAGCGGCCTGCGGCAGATGTAGGCTGGCTGACAGATTGGGGTGGGCTCTCGGAGTATATCCAGCCGTCACGTCCCCGACCCGCCGCTTCGGTCCCGGAGCCAGAGACCGAGCACAAACCATGTCACCAAGGGTGGCGGCCAACGGCAGCACCCTGACATGAGTACCAACCGGCCCTCTGGAATGACTTACTCATAAACTATCCACACGAGGGGTCCAATTTCCGAGGTGGGTGGGAATGGTGAGGACATAAAGTCTCCCTCTCGGTAGGTTATCCGTCGGTGAAACCAGCCTACGCCCAAAACAGGTGGCATTGGCCGTTTGCACCGTCAACGAGGCAGCGCAGCTCAGGTGCCGTCTTCAAGGACCCTCCTTGTTTTCCGTGTCTCACTTCAACGGCCTCCCGATCTTAGCCATTCTTGACAACATCGTTCCTTACCTCACGATGGCTACTCAACTCACCAGCAGTCATGGCACGCCAGGTCTTGTACACAGCACCAGCATAACTCAGCCCCCAGATATGGATGCCGTGGAGACCCTCAAAGCCGTCCAGGGGATTATCAGCACTTACCTCGCCAATGGTACAACGGGTGGGCGAAGTCGGATTCCGACCCCTGAACCCAGTCCAGTCCCAAAGTATTTGGAGGTTAGCAAACGAGAAATGGATGGTATGAGCGGAGGTCAGGCAGAGATTGTGCGGGAAGACGCAGGTCAGCCGAGCAAAGGGGTGCTTGCAGGGAGGCTGGTGGAAGAGATTGGTGCAGTGAGCGGACAGCAACAGGTGACGATAAAGGGCACTGAACCCGCCGCCAACATCACCTCTCAGTCGCCGCAGGCCGCACGAAACATGACAACCGACCAGCTCGATCGTGGTGTGCTCAACCACGTAGCGGCCGACACCCTTGACGCCGACAATACGGAATCCCAAGGGCCAGCCACGCGCAAGCTCAACGGGGATAGCAATACCAATAGCTTCGACGTCAAACCCTCGCCGCCTTCCGTGCCTCCTCAGCCCAGCCAAGAACGCCTGCTCAAACTCACTTCCGACATTGCACACAACATCTCTCAGATTGCAACCGATGATTCCGCTCGGATCAAAGCCCTCACGGACAGCTTGGAGCTGGCTGCTGCTCTCCGCCCTCCCGGTGACACCATAATGGGTTGGTTTGCCAACATGTCCGTCATCTCGGCCGTGCGTTTGTTCATTCACTGGGGGGCATTTGACATCATCCCGCCCAGCAAAGGGGAGAGTATCACATATTCCAAGCTAGCCGCACGGGTCAACGCCGATGAGGGACTCATTGGTAAGTCTGCAACCGCCCCATACCAACGGCAAAACCCCAGCTAACACAACGAAGTCCGCGTCGCCTCCATGCTCACCTCCGCGCACATCCTCCTGCACCACCCCACCTCACCCACGCACCCCGCACCATCCCTCTCCCACACCCCCATCTCCACGCTCCTCATCTCCGGCCAGCCTATGTCGGCCATGTTCTCCCTCATGTACAACCACGTCACGGCCGTGTCCACCATCCTCCCTTCCTACTTCGACACCTACGGCCGCACCGAGCCCACCGGCCCGGCCCACATCCCCACCTCCTTCCTGGCCGGCCAGCCGGAGCAGGATTTCTTCTCCCTGCTGAAGAAGGATGACGCCGCGCTCAGGAACTTTGGCCTCGCTATGCGCATGACCAGCAAGCGCGTTCCCGTGACGGGGGTGTACGATATGACGGGGGTGTTGCGCGCGGCGGAGGCGGGCAGGGAGACGGTCTGGGTGGATGTGGGGGGCGGTGATGGGCATACGGTCAGGCAGTTCCTGGGGGAGTATCCTGGGTTGAGGGCGGAGCAGTGTGTGGTGCAGGACCTGGAGGAGGTGGTGGAGGCTGCGAGGGAGCAGGTTGATGAGGCGTTGAGGGGGGTGCGCTGGGTGGGGATGGACTTTTTTAAGGAGCCTCCTGTTGAAGGTGAGTTCAAGACCTACGTTTCCTTCACCTCACTACTTCCCTCCACTCAGCACAAGTCTCCAAACACAACACATAGCCACTAACCCAACCCAACTCCAGGCGCGCTAATCTACTACCTCCGGCACATCATCCGCGACTACTCAGACCCCGTCGCCGCCACCATCCTGCGCAACATCGCGCGCGCCATGACAGACCCGGCCAGCCGCGTGCTTATCTCGGAACAGCTCAACCCGGACGTGGCCAGCACCGATGGCCCGCTGCCCCTGTACGCCGCCTTCAAGGACTTCTCCATGCTCTCTATCGGCGGCAAGGAGCGCTCGCTCAAGCAGTTTGAGGCGCTGGCGGATGCCGCGGGGCTGAGGGTGTCGGGTGTGTATAGGCATGCGGCGACCGCGCATGCGGTGGTGGAGCTGGCGCTGAAGGTGGGTGGTGCGGGTGGGGATGGGGTTGGTGTGTGAGGGAGGGGAATGGTGTGTGAGGGAGGGGGTGTTGGTAGGGGGAGTGAGTGGGGGTGGGGAGGTCAATATTGGTTGGGGAAAAGGCTATTGGATATGGGTTGGGGTTTGGGAGCTTGCCTCCATGGCTTGTGATGAGACATGACCATTTCCGTACTTGGATAAGTCTAGCCGGGTGTCAGAGGTAACGGTCAGTCGTTGGATGGTACATGGTGATGGTGACGGTCCAAAGCAGCGGCACATATTTCTAATAAAATAACTTGAGTTATTCCACGGTACCCGCATGACTCGATGCCTCCGACATACCATTCCTCCTTTACATTGACGAGTTATGTAGTTATAAATACATCGATAGCAGCCATCAACAATAAGAAACCTATCACCGTGCATCAGATCAATTTACCATCCGTACACTTACCCGTCCTGTCTTCGTCGACCAACTCGAAGCCCGAGCGTGTCTGACATATCCGTCCAACCACCCTGCCCTCATATACCGACACAACCCACCTAACACCTCCCCTTCCACAACCCCCAGTCCCGCCAGATAACCAGGCCGTTAATCCCGCCTCGGCTTATTCCCCCCACCCTTACTAGCCGCCCCCTCGGTCTTCATGCCCTCGCACCCCGTCAGCTTGCCCGCCAGCTCCTCCGCCCGCCCGTAGCCGCTCTTGGCCCTGGCCGCCCTCCACATTCCCCACCAACGAGCTATCGCTGGTCTTCCATCACCTTGTCAGTCGTCTCGGACTCGCGCCCGAACCTGCGAATCTCGTGAGTGCAGCCGACTGCGCTCTTTTTGTTCCCGATGGTAGATCGCTACGGGGGGTTGTTTGTTTGTGTTGGGGGGAAGGCGGGGGGGCGGGTTGTGCCGTGAAAGGGGCGAGGGTAGCAGGGAGATGCTTAGGGGGTCAAGGGGTCAGGAGTAAAGGGGTAGGGGGTAAAGAGATCAAAAGTGAGGATGTTGAGTTTCAAAGGAAGGGGACCAAAACGAAACGGAAAACGCACCTCGGCGGCTCCTTTGATGTACTCGGCGTGGGCGGTCCAAAGGCCCGGCTGGTCAGGGCGACTTGGGTCTTGGGGGTTGTTGGGCGGCGAAGACATGGCTGTGATACTAGTGCTTCTTTTCGTTGGCAACGTCTGGGAGCTTAATAGTTCAAAGGTGTAAGCAAAAGGTTTGATCAAAAGGTTATGGATGTGGGAGTTCTGCAAGAAGCATGAGAGGGCGATCAGTGCGAAGTGACGATTTCGAGGGAGTACTGACGTCGACAATGTGACGTCACAAAAGGTAGCTGGTTCTAGACCCAGCAGACTCCATTCCGTCTTCCTAGGTTCGACCGCTTTGGCTAGTTCGCTACCTAATCACCTGTCTCTGCATTAGGTAGATTTATTGCTTTGCATCAAGACATCTAAAGCCCCTTGTATACCCTGTTATTTTCACTCGGTCTAATCCGCTGAGATGACTGGCAATATTAGGTACCTTACTCACTTAAGCAGGTAGGACTTTGAGGTGCGGGCCAAGAGTGGCCATATTTTCTGCGGTAACTCATGTAGTGTGGCGAAGAGTAGCAGTATCAACCATTAATACCCGAAACGGGATTTGAGACATTGCTGGACGATAGCTCCTAAGCTCCATGGTACTGGCTAGTCTCAAGCGCTCTGGGCCGCGAGATTGACAGCTCGGGCTACCTAGGCACCTATGCAGGCCATCCCGGAGCCACCCCGAGACACTCTGTTCTTTGTTGCTCGATGGCACTGTCCGTGATGGCTGACATTGATATGAAAGCGGGACTGACAGCGACAATATTCCTTGGCTTCGTAATGCTAGTTTTTCAATAGAAATGAATGCGCCAGGTGTTATAGCGAAGATAGGACCTCCGTGGTATCCTCAGGGGGGGTGCAGCATCCCCATGACAAACGAAGGGGCTCATAAAAAAACGCATCGGAAAAGGTTGAACTGTACACCGGTGGGACGGGTGATGGTAACGGAGAAAGGCTGGCGGGGAGCGCGCGCCTATTGGCCTCGTCAGTGGTACCGGGCTTGACGCCGGACTGTGAGTGGGAATCCCGACCCGTGGTTGGCGCGTTGGGGTTCACACGAGTCCCGAGACGGTGAGGGCCGGAGTGAGACGCGCGGAAGGGACGGACTGCTAAGAACATCTGGCCACGTAACCACGGGTGCTGGTCAGGAAGTGTATTGCATTCTCTTACCGGACTGGGCATGCGGAAAATGGGCGGGCTGAGACATGGCTTGGAGCGGAAGAGTGTACTTTACCCACGTCCGGGACCCCTAAAAACCAAGGACGGGTGGAAATTGGAACACCCAGGAGGCGTTGATTTTATCATTTAAGTTGATTTTTGACCATCGCCATGAAGCTAATTTCACTCCTCTTGGCCACCCTCGTAGCCATGGCGCCTGCGGGATGCTCCCCGTTACACAGACGACAGACGGCAACGCTTTGTGGGAGAAATGACTACTGGTCCGGCAACGGGTACGAGGTCAACAACAACAACTGGGGCGCAGGGTCGGCGACTTCAGGCTCCCAGTGCACATATGTCGACAGTAGCTCCAGCTCGGGTGTATCGTGGCACACAACGTGGACCTGGGAAGGCAATGAGAATCGCGTGAAAAGCTATGCGTACTCGGGCAGACAGATCGCGAGGGGAAACACTATTTCTTCCATCGAAAGCATGTCAACAGAAGTGTCATGGACCTATAACACGAGCGATATCCGTGCCAACGTCGCCTACGATTTCTTCACTGCTCAAGACCCGAATCATTCGAGCAGTGGTGGTGACTACGAGTTGATGATATGGTGAGTGACAAAGACCCAGACTAACTCATCACCGTCCGGATAATGTGTGGTGAATTTGTGCTGCAGCTGATCGCCCCTATAGGCTTGCCAGGTTCGGAAACGTCTCTCCTATCGGATCCTCTATGGGCACCGTCACAGTCGCCGAGAATAGCTGGCAGCTCTATGTTGGCAACAATGGCGGAATGGTCGTCTACAGCTTCGTGGCCACCAGCAGTATGAATAGCTTCAACGCTGACGTCAAGAACTTCTTCACCTATCTGGAAGATAATGACGACTTCCCGGCCGACGATCAGAATCTTATTGGTAAGGTCGGCCGATTCTTTGTGCTTGTCTTACTTCTCACATGATGTTGGCTAACATCCATTCGAAGTTTTCCAACTTGGCACAGAAGCCTTCACCGGTGGGCCAGCTACCTTCGCCGTTTCTCAGTTTTCGGCCAACGTCATCGTATGAGAGGTGATGTAAGGGGGCTGACAGGGCGGATGTCAATGACGTTGATTAATCCCGTCGGGTTGTTGGGTATCAAGAAACCGGGGCTAATGATCCTGGCCCCATGATGGTGTAGTGCGTTTCATGAGGTAGTGCCGGACTCGGAAGGGTTCAATGAATCCAGCCCTTATTCATGTTTTGGACCTTTAATGGCAGAAACGATTCATGATCATTCATCCATATTTAACAGTCATTTTTCGAAACTGCTGTTTGACCCCAACCCGGTGTTGTCATCTAGATTAACGCCAGTATGATGTATCTTCCACCGGGGGCACCTGCGAGCCCATTTCGAGTAGTTATTATCAGCAAGTGAGCAGGGCAGCTGTGTTACGGGGCCTAGTTAGGAGAAACCATCAGGTGCCCTGGTTGGGGAGCAGCCATTGCCCGTGGATATCCGGTGATGACGCTACGGTTGACGCTACGGTGTGTGCATCAACCATCTCCACACAACTCTTCGGTGACTCAGTTGATTCTGGACTCAGGTGATTTTACCAGAAAGCGCCATCTTCACCCTGCACGCCCGGAGTTTGCTTGTTCTCGAGCCCTTCCAGACCCTCGAAATAGCCTTGCGTGGCAAATGGCGAGACCCACCAGCGCCACGATCGATGTCGACCTTGGCGAACGTGGGGTGAAGCGACCGACCCCTTGGCGGCTGCAATCACCCCGCCAAAATCTTATCAGAAACAACAAGGGTTGACTTGCCCCGGATTTTGGCGGAAGGGGCCTTGCCGCATGAGTTGATGAAGGACATGGGCCACTTGTCACCACCGAATTTCATTTTGACGACCGTCGCAATAAAGATCGCATTTGCCATTTGTTAGAAAGGTCCGATCGGGGGGAGCCCCGCCCAGCAGACGACTCGGGCAAGTCATGTTCCTTGGTGAGCGTGCGTGGTTGCCCACTGGATGCCCCACGTGTACTTCACATCTCACGGAACGCCAGCTCGACCGACAACTTGGAAGTCGTCCAATGTTTTCGGGGGTTGGATGCCTTATTCTCCGGTATTTTGCCTCCGCGGCAATTTGCCTCGAACATTCGCTCGAGTCTCTTCGCTTTCAGATGTCGGTGGTGGCGCTAAAGCCGTCTTTGGTTTGACGACAACGATCGGCTATTTCCGTGGGGCTTGGGTGTTTGAAGACCAGAAATACCAAGTGTGGGAAGAGTGGTGACGAATTGTTATCGCAATTCAGAAATGGCTCGGTCTGGATGCTGTCGTCGTGTGTAGTTGCCCTGTGTATACCAACAAAAGAAGTGGCCGAGGAACGGCCACCATCTCTGGTTCCACATCCTTGTGAGCATTGCATTCCCTGTCATTGGTGTGTGGGCGACTCGGAGGGGTCCATGGATCCTTGCTTATCGCTTATCGAGGAAGACGCTATACCTAGTTAGGCTGTGCGGGAAAGCGGTGAGACGGCGAAATGCAGAAATTTTGAGGCAAAGGCGAAAAAAAGTTTTCGGCGCCGCCTACCCCTCCATTTGGGCTGAGTGGGGCAACTCTCTTGGGCTGTGCACACCACGCTCTTTTTAAAAACCTTACCTTCCACACCCACCACGCACGCAGAATCCTCCCTTCTTCCTGCTTTTCAGGTCTCCTTCCTCCATATTCTTCTTTCCTTTACGACTGTTTTGTTCCTCGAGGACACACTCCACTCAGTCTTTACTTTCTTGTGACTTCATCTAGAAGGGCCAAGATAGAGTAGACATTTCGATCCTCCATCGAAATTCTACGGGCTCGCCCTTGCAACCGGATATCCCATATACCCGATTTCGCATCTCCGGATAGACGGTGGGATTAGTTTCCTTCTCGGATCGCTACAATCGATAGACTTCCGGTCTCATTCTCCAACCCTATCATTTCGATACCCACCGCAATCATGTCCGAGAACGCCACGAGCACCAAGGTTCTCGATGAGCTGATGCAGAAGCTCACCATCTCTAAGGAGGCTGATGCTATCAAGGAGTCTGCCGGCGCTCTTGCGACTTTCATCAACGGCCGCATCGAGGACCTCGAGACCCCCACCAGGTAAGAGAATGCCCTTCTCTACAACTGAACCCCGCGCCCCCCCCCGCCTTCCCCCTCCCACGCACTTTCTTTGTGGCCGTTTCCAAAAACGACGGCGGCCGCTTTGTGCGCTGCTTATCAGTGATTCCATGCTCACCGCCGCCTCTGCCACGCCAGAGAGCGGTTGGGCTGAGCCGCGTCCTCGAATCAGGTGGCGGCATGTGCTGCAAGCGGCACCACATTTTTCGGAGCAAAATTTGGAGCAAAATTTTCTGGCATTCAACGTCGCACCAAAAATTCGGGGTAAAGTCGGCGCTAACATGTGACGCTTATTTTAGGACTGTCGAGGCTCTCAAGAAACAGCTAGCCAGCAAGAAGGATGCTGGCGCGCGAGAGAAGGCGCTCCTCGCCATCCAGGCGATCGCACAACACTCCGAGGTCTCCGCCAATGTCGAGCCCTATCTCGTCGCCCTTCTTCCAGGTGTCCTGGCCGGCGCCGGAGACAAGATCACCGCGGTCAAGAATGCCGCCATCGCCGCTGCCTTGGCCATCGCCGAGGCGATCAACCCTAATGCCATCAAGGCTACCCTCCCGGCCCTCATCGACTCGCTGAGGAACGCCCAGAAGTGGCCCGAGAAGATGACAGTCCTCGACTTCATTGACACCCTGGTCCGCACCTGCCCCGCGCAGACCTCGCTTCTCGTCCCCAACTTGATCCCCGTCGTGTCCGAGGCCATGTGGGACACCAAGAAGGAAGTCAAGGACCGCGCCTACAAGACCATGGAGAAGGTGTGCCAACTCATCGTCAACCGCGATATCGAGCGCTTCATCCCCGAGCTCATCAAGTGTGTCGCCAAGCCTGAGAACGTCCCCGAGACGGTTCACTTGCTTGGTGCCACCACTTTCGTCACCGAGGTCCAGGAGCCCACCCTTGCCCTCATGGTGCCGCTGCTGGATCGTGGTCTTGCCGAGCGCGAGACTGCCATCAAGCGCAAGTCCGCCGTCATCGTTGACAACATGTGCAAGCTCGTCGACGACCCCAACATCGTTGCGCCTTTCTTGCCCAAGATGATGCCTGGCCTGCAAAAGAACTACGACAATCTTGCTGATCCTGAGGCTCGCGAGAAGACCAAGCAGGCCCTTGACACCTTGGTCCGTGTCGGCAATGTTGTCGATGGCAAGATCCCTGAGGTGCGCAACCATGGTGATATTTCCACCATCATGGGACACCTCAAGGAGATCCTTACCGGCAAGCACGCCGCTGCGTTCGAGAAGTTTGCCCCTGTTCTCGAGTACGCCTCTGCTATTGCCGGCCAGCTCGTTGATGAGAAGGCCACCGACGCCTCCTCCTGGGCTGAAAGCGTCAAGCCGTACATCACCGTCGTCGTCGGCGACTCTGAGGCTGACAGTGTCGTCGATGCCCTCCGCAAGCGCGCTGTCCCCGGTGCTGCCGATGCTGACGCCGTTGAGGACGACGAAGAGGAGGGCGAGGACCTCTGCAACTGCACCTTCTCACTCGCCTACGGCGCCAAGATCCTGTTGAACCAGACCAGCCTGCGTCTCAAGCGCGGCCAGCGTTACGGCCTGTGCGGCCCCAACGGTTCCGGCAAGTCCACCCTGATGCGTGCCATCAATAACGAACAGGTTGAAGGTTTCCCCAAGCAAAGCGAGGTCAAGACCGTCTTCGTCGAGCACGACCTGGATGCCGCTGATACGGAGATGACGACAATCGACTGGACCATGAAGAAGTTGACGGAGGCTGGTGTCACCACAACCAAGGAAGACGTCACCAAACAGCTCAACGACTTCGGTTTCACGGATGAGATGGTGCAGGGCGAGATTACCGCCCTCTCTGGTGGTTGGAAGATGAAGCTGGCCCTGTGCCGTGCCGTTTTCGAGGCTCCCGATATCCTTCTTCTCGATGAGCCGACCAACCATCTTGATGTTGTCAACGTGGCGTGGCTCGAGGAATATCTCAAGAACTCGAAGTGCACTTCCATCATTGTGTCGCACGACAGTGGATTCCTCGACAATGTGTGCCAGCACATTGTTCACTACGAGCGCTTCAAGCTCAAGCGCTACAAGGGTAACCTGAAGGAGTTCGTTCGCCGTGTGCCCTCGGCCAAGTCTTACTACGAGCTCGGCGCCTCCGAGATCGAGTTCAAGTTCCCGGAGCCCGGTTTCCTTGAGGGTGTGAAGACAAAGGCCAAGGCCATTCTCCGCGCCACCAACATGAGCTTCCAGTACCCGGGTACTTCTAAGCCCCAGATTTTCAACATCAACTTCCAGTGCTCCTTGGGATCGCGTATTGCCGTCATCGGTGCCAACGGTGCCGGAAAGTCTACCCTCATCAACGTCCTCACCGGTGAACTCATCCCCACCGGCGGTGAGATTTACCAGCACGAAAACATCCGCATTGCCTACATCAAGCAGCATGCGTTCGCACATATCGATAACCACTTGGACAAGACCCCGTCCGAGTACATCCAGTGGCGTTTCCAGACCGGCGAGGATCGTGAGACCATGGACCGTGCCAACAAGATCATCACGGAGGCCGATGAGGAGGCCATGAACAAGGTCTTCAGGGTTGAGGGCACTCAGCGTCGCATTCTCGGCATCCACAGCCGCAGAAAGTTCAAGAACAGCTACGAGTACGAGTGCTCGTTCGCTCTCGGCGAGAACGTCGGCATGAAGAACGAGCGCTGGGTTCCCATGATGACCGCCGACAACGCCTGGTTGCCCCGCAGCGAGCTGCTCGCTTCTCACCAGAAGATGGTTGCCGACGTTGACATGAAGGAGGCCCTCGCCTCCGGCCAGTTCCGTCCCCTGGTCCGCAAGGAGATCGAGACCCACTGTGCCAACTTCGGCCTGGATGCCGAGTTGGTGTCTCACTCGCGCATGCGTGGTCTCTCTGGTGGCCAGCGTGTCAAGGTCGTGCTTTCCGCTTGCTCGTGGCAGCGTCCCCACTTGATCGTTCTGGACGAGCCCACGAACTACCTCGATCGTGACTCTCTCGGTGCCCTGTCTGGAGCGCTCAAGGCTTTCGAGGGTGGTGTCATCATCATCACTCACAGCAAGGAGTTCACCCAGGATCTCACTGAGGAAGTGTGGTCTGTCCGTGATGGCCAGATGACACCCTCAGGCCACAACTGGGTCCAGGGCCAGGGCTCCGGTCCCCGGTTGAAGGGCGACGACGGTGATGAGGAAGACAAGTTCGATGCTATGGGCAACAAGATTGAGGGGAACAAGAAGAAGGCTAAGCTCACGAGCTCTGAGGCGCGGAAGAAGAAGAAGGAGCGTATGGCTCGCCGGAAGCGCGGTGAGGAGGTATGTCAATCGCCCACCATACTTTCGAGTATCAATCACACGCTAACTGGTTTAATAGGTCTTCAGCGACGAGGAGGACTAAGCTTCTCGCTTTCTGAACTTTCTCATGGTTTTAGCGCGACGATCGGGTATACAAAAGTTGCTTTCTTTCTTTCTGGTTTGGGGTTGCATGGTCAGGCCTTAATGGGATTATGTCTTTCATGTTTAGTCAGGATGATCGTAACGCCTATGATGCCCACCGCATTGTGTCTACGGCTGGCGATGGGGATGACTAGTCCCCCCAGGATTGGAGACCCTGGGACGGACAGTCTGAGTCCTCCATCGGCTGGGCACGAAGGAAGATACCATGGATGGGCGGGCGTTCTCTCGTGGATAGAGGACAATGTAGATGATTTATATGAGTGCCAGTCATGAATAGCTCGACGTGAATCAACTGGTTCCACCAGCCCGCATCATCTCACGTTTAACAACGCCCCGCTGGGCCGTTGTGATGTGCCGCCCCACCCGTGTTTGTTGACAAGGTAATAGTTGCTGGGGGGGGGGGAGGCCACCTGATCGAGCTGTGTCTTGCTCAGAAAATGAAGAGTAGTCCGTTTATGACTATCTATCTATGGTGCAAATGCAAGACGCCTTCTCCCGCCGTGGGATCCCCGCGGAATGTCAATACCAACTCCACCCCATCCGGTTCTCCACCCTCCCGATCTGGTACCATCCTGAACTCCGTGAAAACACAAGTGCCGGTTTTCCCCAATCTCTCCCCGCACAGCCACCTTATCATCTCAATCCTCCATCTGCTTGTGCTTCTGCTTCTTGCCGGCATGGCCGACATCGTAGGGGTCAGACGTCGGGGTGCTGGGCAGCTCGTTGGCGACCGCCTCCGCCTCGGCCGTGAGCCGGGCTTCTGTCTCGCTCGTCTCCTTCTCGCGGTCGGTCGTGGTCTGGTCTTCGGCGACGGGCGGGAAGTAGAGCCTGTTGATGCAACACTGTCAGTACCCATCACAAGACGGCTATCATGAAGGCAAAAGGAAAAGGAGTCCGGGGTCACTTACGGCAAAACCTCATTATACGCCTCCACATCCTTCCTCTCAAACGTCACCACCACCACCTTATCAATCTTCCCCCCATCCGGCCCCACCAAAAACTTCCTAATCGCGCTCAGCGCCGCCGGCGCTGCCTCCTCGCTCGGATACCCATACACGCCCGTGCTAATCGCGCTAAACGCCACCGTGCGGCACCCCGCTTCCACCGCCAGCTCCAAGCTGCGCGTGTAGCACCCCGTCAACAACCGCTCCGACCCCTCAGGATTAAACGGGTTGTACACGGGCCCGACGGCGTGGATGACGCGCTGACACGGCAGCGCGTAGGCGGCCGTCATCTTGGCGGAGCCCGTCTCGCACCCGCCCAGGCCGCGGCACTCGAGGTAGAGCTGGGGCCCCGCGGCGCGGTGGATCGCTTCGTCGACGCCGCCGCCGCCAAGCAGGGAGCGGTTGGCCGCGTTGACGATCGCGTCCACGGCGAGCTTGGTGATGTCGCCGCGGATGAGGCCCACGCGGTCGTTGAGGGTTTTGGAGGGTGGGGGGAGGACGGTGCCGGTGTTGGGGCCGAGGAGGGTCGGGGGGAGGGTGCTACCGGTGGGGGCGGGGGAGAGTTTGCGGAGTTCGTAGAGGAGGGTGAGGGAGGGGATGGAGGAGGAGGCCAGGGCTGTCATGTTGAAGGTGGCTAGGTTTGTCGGGTGAGGGAAATGCGATGGTGGCTGGGTTGATTGGTGTTGGTGTTGACGTTGATTAATTGTTACTTCGGGCGGGGTTGGAAATTCTGGAGGAAAATATGGTGCGAGTACCCAGTCTGTCAGCCTGGTATATATAGGAAGCATTTATGGTGACGAAGAGAGACATGGAAAGTGGATCTGCCACACTTACGGTATTGAACTGAAGAAGTTGGGACGGTCTGTGATTTAGCAGAATCGTCACCGAACAGCTGCTCTTTGTGCCGCCAGACCGACCGGCACATCTACCTGCAGCGCGCTGAGAATCCGGGTGGCCTCAGCGCTGGAAAGCCGCAATATATGCCCAATAGTTGTAGGGCAATTCGAAATTTCGAGTCTTGTTCCAAGATCCAAAAGGGGAAGAAGATGGGCACGAGAATTGGCAGAGAGACTCCTGAAATTCTCAGCCCAGCGCTGGGTATTTTCGATTCTTGTAACCTGGGTCTTGAGATGATCGAGTGCTGCAAGAATGGCCTGGGTATCCAGGGACCCCATAGGGAAAAAAGCGAACTCTAAATGTACGAAATACGAATAGATGCCGATGAAACCTTTGACTACAGCAACGAAAAGAAAGTCATTTGTTGTCTGGATGGAAGGGATCCGTTCCAGCCCAGCAATGCATGCCGTCGCCAGTTAGCCAATGACCTCTTACCCCTCACCCATGGACAAAAAAGGTCGAACTCCATGTCTGGATATCGATCGTAGGAGCGAAACGAAAGCCGTCCGAAAGACAAAATGAACCGTTATCGTTCTTATTTACCTTTGCTTTTACTCTGCTATTTTGGATGTGATACCTTTCCTTTGTTTCTTTTCCTCTCTCCTTTTTCTTGATTTCCTACTTTCGTTCAAGTTGGGCCTTTTATGGCCAGAAGCTGCCCCTCCATCAGCTTATCTTATCTAGCCCGTTAATCGAACCCCTGCCATTGTCGCGTGGGCCTGCCCCTCCTTTACGATGCCCCTCCACCCCTCCAAAAGGTATTTTGCCAGGCCCAACAGGAAGGGTTGACTCACCGAAGCCGTGTCAGAGAGCAGCTATTGAGTCACTTTATGCCCATAACTCAAGGTTAAAGTGCACGTAGTAGAGCAAGAGAAACGCCAGGACTTCATTTTAACTCTGCTGCAGCCTCCAACCCCGACAACCGATAAACGATATTTGACCTCCGAATAACATTGTGTACGCGAACAAGAACACGAATCAACCCATCCCCGATCGATCGCTGGAAGGACCAATTGATCTCACCATCATGGCGGACGCTGTCGCAGATGCCGCTGCCAAACTGCAGATCGGCGATGCGCCAGCAGACAACGGCGCAAAGCTCCAGCTCGACGAGGAGACGGGCGAGTGGGTTTCCAAGGGAGAGCTGAAGAAGCGGCTGGCGAAGCGCGCAAAGAAGGCGATTAAGGATAAAAACAAAGATGCGAAGGATGCGGCTGGTGCGCCCAAGGCAGCCCAGGCTGCTGCTGCGCCGAAGAAGCCAAAGGAGAAAGCAGAGGAGGCTCCTATCGACACCGACGCCATGTTCAAGCAGGGGTTCCTCAACGACGTTTACAACGAACGGCCCGAAAAGGATGTTTTCACGCGATTCCCGCCTGAGCCTAATGGCTTCCTTCATATTGGCCACGCCAAGGCCATTGCCGTCAACTTTGGCTTCGCGCGATATCACGGGGGCAAATGGTACGCAGCCGTGTGGAATGAGCCATCGAGATTCGCGCTGACCCTAGCCCTGATCACAGCTACTTGAGGTTCGATGACACCAACCCCGAGGCTGAGGAAGAAGTGTACTTTACGGCCATTGAGGAGATGGTACGATGGCTCGGGTTCGAGCCCTACAAGATCACGTACTCGAGTGACAACTTTGATAAGCTGTACGAATTGGCCGAAAAGCTTATTACACTCGACAAGGCTTACGTCTGCCATTGCGGGGGTATGTAGTGCCCCTAGGACTTATGTGTCTCGCGATACTAATGACCGTAGACGAAGAGATCAAGCTGCAGCGCGGTGGTGAGAAGGGGACGAGCCCACGCTATCGGTGCAAGCACGCCGAGCAGTCAGTCGACGAAAATCTTCAGAAGTTCCGGGACATGCGTGATGGGAAATACAAGCCAAGGGAAGCATTCTTGCGCATGAAACAGGACGTACGTTATCCGCAACCACCGCCAGACGTCCCAAACTAATAGGTCCAGATCACCGATGGCAACCCTCAAATGTGGGATCTTGCCGCTTACCGCGTGTTAGACAAGCCCCATCACAGGACAGGGTCGAAATGGAAGATCTACCCTTCCTACGACTTTACCCGTTAGTAGACCGCCGCCTAGTTTTATTCCAGTTGCTGACCCCGATAGACTGCTTGTGCGATAGCTTCGAGGGCATCACGCACTCGCTCTGCACGGTCGAATTCTTCCTTAGCAGGACCTCCTACGAGTGGCTAAACAAGGAGCTCGTGGAGTTCCAGCCCATGCAGCGAGAATACGGCCGCCTCAGCCTCTCGGGTGCCCTCATGTCCAAGCGCAAGCTGAAAGAACTGGTGGACAAGAAGATTGTACGGGGGTGGGATGACCCTCGTCTCTCCACGCTGATTGCGGTCCGCCGGAAAGGTGTACCTCCAGGCGCCATCCTCGAGTTCGTCAACGAGCTTGGCGTGACCACGGCCAACAGCATCATTCAGGCCTCTCGATTTGATCAGACCATCCGGCGCTACCTCGAGCGGACGGTGCCGAGGCTGATGGTTGTCCTCGACCCGGTGCCCGTTGTAATTGAGGATGCTGATGAGTTCGAAGGGACCGAGCTCACGGCGCCATTCTCGCCAAAGAACCCGGCCATGGGCGAGCACAAGATCAAGTTCACCAAGACGGTCTACATTGATCGATCTGACTTCCGTGAGGTCGACAGCAAGGACTACTTCCGTCTAGCACCCGGGAAGTCGGTCGGTCTGCTCCAGGCGCCGTTCCCCATCAAGGCGACCAGCTTCACCAAAGACGAGGCGACGGGTCAGGTGACCGAGATTCGCGCTGTATTTGATCGCGAGACGAAGAAACCCAAGACCTTCATCCAGTGGGTTCCCGCGGGTGAAGGTTCGGGGTCCCGCAAGTGTGAGGTGCGCCTCTATAGCCCCCTGTTCAAGTCGGACAACCCGGCGGCTGCCGAAGGCGGGTTCCTCGGCGATCTCAACCCTGAGAGCGAGGTGGTCTACCCGAATGCCGTGATCGAGTCGGGCTTCGACGAGATCAAGGCGCGGGCACCCTGGCCCGAGGCTGCCGGCGAGGACAAGCTGGGTAAGGGCGGCCCGGAGTCGGTGCGCTTCCAGGGGATGCGTGTGGCATACTTTGTGAGTTCGGTACTATCCGATTTGTGGGATTTTGCTAACATCTTTATAGGCCATGGACTCGGATAGCACAGATGACAAGATTGTGCTTAACCGCATAGTCTCGCTGAAGGAAGATAGGGAGAAGAGCTGAGTGTATAATGGTGTGCTTGATAGCAATGTAAGCCCATCATGAATCATGAAATGTTGTTCTACAGCGCGTGATTATGACTCTAGCCACTCGTGACGATGTTATCAGCGTTCCACGTCTGCGGGTACTGTGGGCGTAGTATCACAAGGGATTCCATCCGTCCTCCTAGCCTCAACGGGAGCATTATGCCTCGCCGGAACACAGGGTAGGTATCAGTCTATCTGACCTTGTCTCCCCGGTGCTCATGCGTTGTTCGTGGCCGCCAGGAGGTTGAGTGTTACACCTTTTGCCGTCCCACCTTGCTCGCGTTCCCACCTTGGGTTACCAGACCCGGATACCCGGTTCCCGGTGACTGATTGCTACTGGGCAAGCTAATCCATGTGATGTCGTTTGGTGCTTCATGTAGACGCCAGGCAGTGTCGCGAAGCACAGGCGGTGGTGTTTGTCACTGGGGGACTGAGGCTCTGACGCCTGCTATTATTTAAGACTCGCTGCTTTTGCCCCAAACTTTCTTTTCTTCTCAAATTCTCTTTCTAGGCTTGATATCATTACTCGTACAACTCTTATCATCGATACCAGCTCCAGGACCAACTCAGGTTGCATAATCAAGGTGTGTAGATGGACTCTCCAAATCCCCCCATCATGTTCACAAACTAACCGCCCGCCCAGACCAGTCAACCACCCACGCAGCCGACAATGTGCTCCATAATCATAAACCAACCGCACCCCTGGTCCTTCCGCACCTCTCACCACCGCCGCCGCCACACCACCTCGGACTACATCACATCACCTGCTACTGCGGCAGCACTTCATGCCATCACCACCACTACCCCCGACACTCCCCCTCCTACCCCCTAACCGGCTCCATTTACAACATCAACAATTACCCCACGACCACCACCCCCGTACTACCCCCTACCCCTACTACCCAAGCCGACCCCAGCCCCAGCTCCATGAACAGC